CCCTTCGTTTCAAAGACCTTATTTAAAGGACCACTATAGTGCCAGGAAAACATACTCATTTTCCTGGCACTATAGTGCCCTGAGGGTGCCCCCACCCTCAGGATCCCCCTCCCGCCGGGCTGGATGAAGAGGAAGGGGTTAAATTTACCTCTTTCTCCAGCGCCGGGCGGGGAGCTCTCCTCCTCCTCTCCGCCTCCTCTTCGGCTGAATGCGCACGCGCGGCAGGAGCAGCGCGCATTCAGCCAGTCCATAGGAAAGCATTCACAATGCTTTCCTATGGATGCTGGCTTCTTCTCACTGTAAAAATCACAGTGAGAAGCACGCAAGCGCCTCTCTCAAGAGACAGCCACTAGAGGCTGGATTAACCCTAACATAAACATAGCAGTTTCCTTGAAACTGCTATGTTTATAAAAAAAAAGAGTTAACCCTAGAAGGACCTGGCACCCAGACCACTTCATTAAGCTGAAGTGGTCTGGGTGCCTATAGTGGTCCTTTAATGAAAGTATTGAATAACTCCGCCACACACGTGAGGTAAGGGTTCAGTAGAAATAGTGAGCCTTTTATGAGTTATTAAAAAAAATCTTCTCCACAAGCACAATGTTGCTTTTATAACTGCTTATCCTAAAGAAGGGGTGACTGAAAGGTAGATCCCCAGATGTATTAAAAAGATAGCTTTGTCATTTTAAAGCCATTTTGATGGCATGCAAAGCATCACGAAAGTTTTAGTTCTACAACATCTGGGGATCTACCTTTTGGGCACCCCTATACTGAAGCCTATAATTTGTGAAGAGAGAAGAGGTGATGTTACCCTAGCACATTTAGCTATAAGATGAACCATATGCACATGGGGTGGGGCAGTAGGAAGGCTATTTATCATGTCCCCCCCCGGTTTATAGGCATTCCTAGCTGCTTAGGCTTGCTTTTTGTGGCCTTTCGTGTGTCTTATATGATGTGGGGGGAAGGGAGAAAGCTATAATGGAGGATATGTCCCTACTTAGATGCAGTGCTGAGAGTTGGAATTTATACTAGTTAATTTTTCATGCTGGAGGATCAAAACTACCAAAACTTTCTAATTGTATTAACCAAATCCCAGGGAATATGGATTTTGGAAATAGTAGAATCCATTACACAGGTTCTTCATAATTAATAATGCAAACCCCAATATTTAATAACATTTCCCTTATCCAGCAGATTACAAATGGGAAGGAATATGTGGGAATCTGTAGGCACACTTGCATAACATTATTAACTTTCACCCAAACTCTAAGCATTCACTTTAACCTGAAGTTGTAAAGCCATTATGTGGATAATGTATGAACTTTCCATATTAATTATTTAGGCTATCTTACATTAATTTGCATTTCTTTGTACTTGCTTGTTTCCTTTTTTTCAGGGATATTATCAAAGTATGTATATTTTAACATTTTGCAACTTCATATATGTTTGGGGTTAATAGTATCACTACATCTTTGTTATGCTGTTTTTTGTGTTAGAAATAAATGTGTAAAACATGTTTTACAATTATATGGATTGATGGTGGGAGGGATGGATGGATGGGCAGACAAGCATAAAAAGATAGAGAGATAGACAGACAGAGATAGATAGACAGACAGATAGATAGATAGATAGATAGATAGATAGATTCAAGAAAAATGCAGGACAACCTTTTAATAAAGTGCTTCCTTTACATTATTTTAAACCCCTAAGCTCCTCTGAAAAGATAGCTAAGCAGGGAACCACTCTTTGCATGGCCATTAGACTATATATTATTTATTTAGATATTTCCAAATTCATAAAAAAAAAAATGTAAAAGAAAATATAGTGAGCCTCCATCTGAATTTGATATCAAAAGTATAGATTTCATGTTTTAGAAGTATTTGATATAATTCAGTTTGCATTTAAAATTCATCTCAATTGCCTTTTGTAAATGCAAAAAAAAAAAAAAAAAAGGTAATTTGGGTCATATCTGAAAATAGTAAGTACTTCAAAAATATATAATAGCTCTATTCAGAACTGATGTTACTACAAGTAACGTGTTATCATAGAAGGATGTACCTTTATGAGTAAATTCAGAAATTATTTGCCAACGTTTTGTCAAGTGTAATATGATTGCTCTTTAAAATGCATTCTATCCTCCTTTGTTGAATTGAGTTGAAATATTCTTTAAAACAGTTCATAAAAAGAACACTTTTTAAGATACAACAAAACGAATATATTCATAAGTAATGCATCAATACATTCCTATAAGCAATTCACCCTGCACCATATAGATTTTAAATGTATACCCCAAAGAGGATTGAAAAGGTTAGAGCCATTGGACTACCTGATTGAATGGCTAATCTTTTACCCTTTAGCTTTAGTTGCACTTGTCTGCATACAGCTGGTATTTTGGGATGAAATTGGATTGAGTTTTGCTTCCAGCAGGAAGCTGGAGCATTTTTGTGGAGTTTGTTTCATGTCGTGCTTCTCCTAAGAGCTTAAATCCAAAGCGACTGCCTCTATCCCAGACACGTGCACCTACAGCCCATTGCCTGGACCCCTTGCTGGACTCACAAATAGAGGATTTACCCTCTGCTATAGAAGCGGGATAAGCCCCACAGCAATAGAACCCAAGTGAATCATTTCCAAGAGACCTCATAGAGAATGAAAAAAGAGACATGCTGCATGCCGTGGGTGTGGTAGCATTCATATTAGAAAAGAAATAAAGAAAGCCAAGAAAACATACGCTTTGGAGTTTTTATAAAGTATTCAATTTGGGATAATTACTTCCTGTTAAACATTGGCCAGATTTGATTTTTTTTAATGTATAACATATTTAACTTTAATTCACTTACAAACAAAACACTAAACTACTCTTATCTATCTCTCTGTCGTTTTATGTGTGTCTGTATGTTACGCTGCCTCTATCTATCTATCTATCTATCTATCTATCTATCTATCTATCATGTCTAGTTATCTATCTATCTATCTATCTATCTATCTATCTATCTATCTATCTATCTATCTATCTATCTATCTATCTATCTATCATGTCTAGTTATCTATCTATCTGTCTGTCTGTCTGTCTGTCTATCTATCTATCTATCTATCTATCTATCTATCTATCTGCCATGTCTAGTTATCTATCTATCTATCTATCTATCTATCTATCTATCTATCATGTCTAGTTATCTATCTATCTATCTATCTATCTATCTATCTATCTATCTATCTATCTATCTATCATGTCTAGTTATCTATCTATCTATCTATCTATCTATCTATCTATCTGTCATGTCTAGTTAGCTATCTGTCTGTCTGTCTGTCTGTCTATCTATCTATCATGTCTAGTTATCTATCTATCTATCTATCTATCTATCTATCTATCTATCTATCTATCTATCTGTCTACCTATCTATCTATCTATCTATCTATCTATCTATCTATCTATCTATCTATCCATCTATCTATCTATCACTCTCTCTCTCTAACTCGACAATGCATATTTGTCTATCTGTCTGTATGTGTATCTTTCACCTTCCTTAATTTCAAATAAGAAATACTGTTATCTGGGATAGCAATAGATAGATACATAAATTAGTGATTTTTATATATAATTATACACTCATTTGTATGCTTACATTATAGACTGCATGACGTGATATAAAATAATTATTCTGATATAAAATCCTGTTACAAACAGTTGTTTAGTACACTCAAACCACCCACTAAGAGAAGCAATAAATTAATAATTGACTGGTGAACGCTGGGAGTTATTTACAAACAGTTTGTACTGCACGTGTAGCCTGCACTGTATATGATTTTATTGCTTTGTATTTTATTGTGCAGTTTTCCTCTCTTTTACAACCTCTCCTGTTTTTGTTTTTGTTTTTTGTGTTTATTTTCCCCAGGAGTTTCAGTATAAACGGTACTGTGTACTGTGTATCATACACATACATAAATCATACTTAAGTTACTATATTTATTTAATTTGTGGAATGCAATTGCTATTGATGAGAACGTGATATAATGACTTACAGTACAACTTTGAGATAAAACTGAGTAATGTCTAGTCTATTTTCAGTTTTTCTTGTCCTATTGCAGCATTTACCCTCCATACAAGTGTTTCATGCATCCACCTGTCAGCTCCAACTTCCTACCCAACTGTCACTTTTATTGATCCATTTAATCCCCTTTTCTTAGGAAATCTGTTCAGGCTAATGTGTAGTTACCATAAAAAGAAAACCGAAAGAACTCAATTCAGTGGAGAAAAGAAAATCCACTAATCTTCCATGAATGGCCAAAGTACCTAAACAGGTAGAACCAATCTGAAAAAAATAAGGCTTTATTCACTAAAAAGTGAGCTGTGAGGGTTGCCCACCTCCCTTTAACATGTAGATAACAAGAGCCCAGCTGGAAATAAATCTTTAACTTACTTTACAAATAGAGTGAAATAATCAGAACTCGCTGTTAAGTAAATAACCCCCCCCACACACACACACACACACACACACATCATCCCTGACCACAATTTGTGTATGCATACAAAATAAGCAATATAAAATACTAACAGATATTTTTTTAGTAATATCACAGGAAGAGACAGGATATAAAAATGTAGAAAATTTTATTTTTGTCGTCTGGAATACAAAACAATATTTGAAAAGTAGATAATAGAATAGAATATCTTATATATACAAAAAAATACAATTTTCATATCAATGAAGCATTTATAATAAATTAAAGTAGCATCAGCTGTCCCCTCCCTCCTGTCTGGGCACAATTTGTCCACAGAACCCAGTACTACTCTATAGAATGATAGCAGCACTGGTTGTGAAGATAAATAATGTATGAGTTCAGCTTCCCTTGTCTTCTTTCCAAGCCTTTTCTTTGAGTTGTCAGGGCATCCAAACCAAATTGTCATGCTCATTTTTCTTCGTGAACGTTTTACAAATTGTAAAATTGACTTTTCACCCAGGCTGCACCAGAAAATTGGACTGGTTCTTTTTTTTTTTTTTTTAAGGCATCATTTACTTGGGAGAGGCACTAGTCCATTTTCAGAAAAGGTATAAAGAAGAATTTGTGGAACTCAGAAAGTGCAAAAATATGGATACAATTCATACAATTCAGTTCAGTATTATCTGAGTATATAATTTAGGGTGTCACCCTTCACCTCTGAGTTCCTATGTGTGTACTCAGTTCACATAGTTAATACAGAAATAAGGCTGATGTATTAAGGCACTAACTCTATATGTATCCTATACCTGGTTATATTGTAGAAACCAAGAAGAATGCTGGATCATGTTATGTGGGAAGGAGTGGAGAGAAAACATGTTATCTGTATGTCCATAATAGCAGTCTTCAGATGTGGCTGGACTGCTTGGGTTGGAGGTGCAGGCAGACACTGAATACGATGAGGAGTTTGGAGATGCTGAGGACATCCAAGAACCTGCATCACTCCCAGGACTTGATGGGGCTGCTGGACTCATGACACAATGTTGCACTAGTTCACCACTAGGCTTGTCTTTGGACTGGTCAGCCAACCTCAGGGTTTCAGAAAGAGCCCAGATGTAATTATGGGCAAATCGAAGAGTTTCAATTTTGGTCAGTTTGGTGTCATCTGGAAAGCTGGGTAGAATGCTTCTCAATTCATCTAGAGCTGAGTTCAGGTTGTGCATCCTGTTCCTCTCTCTGTCATTAGCTTTGACTCTTCTGGTTTTTTTAATGGTGTGCAGTACACCGTCATTTTTCACTCTGTTTCTGCCTCTTCTCTTTCTCTTTTCCTTCTCTACCTCGCATTTTTCTGGAGTTTGAGTGGGCGAGGTGACATGTCCAGATGTGTAAGAAGAAGGCGTGTGGAAGCTGGCAGAGTCCTCATCATCTGATGGGGAGTAAGACATCTGGCTGCAGGTATCATAGTCAGAGAACGCTCTGTCCATGTTGAAAGATATTCTGTGGACAAAAAGTAGCACATTTTAGAACGTGTAACTTATTTGGCACAATAAGAACTTAAACTGTAACAAAGTAACGATGGGACAGATAACTGCAAACAAGTCACCTATTGTAGGCTGTAACTACGGAGATCAACAGGAAGAATCTGGTAATTGTAAACATACTTTAAAGGTCTGATTTAGTTGATACAAGTTTAGTGCAAGAAAATATTGTTAAAATCTAACTATGGGTTATCCAAATAAATACACAATGCAATCGATGATGATAGATAGATGCTAACATATGACAGTCTTCAAGAAAGCAATTAAACAAGTTAAATTGGAATGTAGATCCTGTTCACATGTCTTGTATAGAGCAATAAGTTTTCTTGATACTTACAGTCAGGTAAAGTGAAGCAGTAAAAACAATCAGAATAACTTGTGATCCTCTTGACCGTAAAGGGGCACGCGACTGCTCTTGTCTTTGAAGTGATCAAGTGATCTCTGCTGCTATGAGCTCGTGTGAGCAGTGAGTTTGGCACACGACTGGCCTCAGACACCTTATATACAGTGTAAGACAATAGCAAAGCCCCCCTGCTTCTTCTCCCCCTCACTCCCCCCCAGCCCCTTCCGAACTGAAGGATGAATGAAGTAAGGCATCAGGTCTGCCCCGTGCTGCACTCACTCTGCTTTGCATAATTTATGTTCCCAGTGTAGTGTCCATTCTCCCCTGGGAGTGTGCCTTTAATTACAATTGGCCAATCGCAGGAGAAGGGCCTATCTGTGACACGTGAGCTTGCATTGGTTTAAGCCTACTTGTTTGAGCTTCATTAGTCTATTAAAAAGAGAAGGAATGGAGAGAAAGATAGAAAGAAAACAAGAACAAAGTGATTAGCCTGGAGGGCAGAGGCACGTTCCAAAAAAAAAAAAGTTTGGGAGGTGAGAGAGGGATTTCTAGAAAAAGATAAAAAAAAATAATAAAATAAACAGTGTATGTACCATGACTGTCAAATAAACCTATGCTTAAATTATTTTTTTCTACATATCTCTTTTCTGACCTTTCTTTTTCCACACCATTGATCATTTGCTTAATACTATTTTACTGACTTGAGCTGATCAACTATGTAAAGAGCAGAACTGTTTTGACAAAAAAGTGCAAAAGAAAAAAGTAGTTCATGTTATTATTAATATTATTTATTTCAGCTTTATAAGGTGAAAACTAAAAACAGTTCACAAGCATTGCAGATATTTTTTTAGTAATATCACAGGTTGCTTGTGAACCCTACAAGTTTTGTTAGTCATTGTAAACAGGAAATTAAATCATATCTTTAAATGTTTGTAAATATATAAAATACCTGGCTTTTTAAAACTTGTTTCCTAATTTTAATTTTTCTTGCTAGGAGAAACACAGCTGCATTAGGTTTCCAGTAACTTTAATTTCTGTCCAAATCCAGATTCTTGGTCACAAGGAAAATTCAGGGGAATGTCAATTAAATAGTAAACTGCGTATAGTGGACAAACATCTTTAAATAGGGTAAAAGTACAGTTTCTTTGTGATTTCACAAGGAAACAACAAAACATTGTTTACTTAATAATATAGAATTAACAATCATCTTATGAATAACTCATCTGTGATATTTGTTTTTACTGATGCAATAAAGATCAGAACTATTTTGGCATTTGTACTCTCTCATAAGTTCACTGTATTTTAATAAACATATAAGGTTATTGATACAGTATTTATGGCCATATAGTGACTAATTTATTATAGCTTGAATAGAAATCCAATACTTTACACAATCCTTAAAATTATTTCGTGTTTTGTCCCAAAGGCTTAAAGGGACACCCCAGGCACCCAGATCACTGCTGCTCATTGGAGTGGTCTGTGTGCCAACTCCCATCACCCTTAACCCTGCAAGTGTAATTATTGAAGTTTTTATAAACTGCAATAATTACCTTGCAGGGTTAAGTCCACCTCTAGTGGCTGTCTATCAGACAGCCACTAGAGGGACTTCTGTGTTCTTAGAACACAAAAAAGTGTTTTAAACGACACTGGATGTCCTCACGCTATGCATGAAGACCTCCAGCGTCACCAGAATCCCCATAGGAAAGCATTAAATAATGCTTTCCTATGGGGAGGTCTAATGTGTGCACGCAGCCATTGCTGCACATGCGAATTAGGTCTCCCCCGCCGGCTGACGTCAATGGGAGCGTAGCATGGGTGGAGCCTGACCCAGTGCAGAGGGACATCGGGGCTATATTCAGCTAAGTCACTGAAGGGTTTTAACCCCTTCAGCAACATGGGATGGGAGGTGGGAGGGAGAGGGGCACTGCAGGGTCCTGCAGTGCCAGGAAACCTGACATGTTTTCCTGGCACTGGAGTGTCCCTTTAATAAGAGACTATAAATAAACAAATAGACATGATTCTGCTAAATTATATTCAGTCGTTACAATGTTGGGGTTATTTACTAAAATGAGAATTCAACATGAATTTCAAAATTAAGTCTAAAATTTCTAAATTGGAAATATTTTCAAAGTCAGCTATGCATTCAATTTGGTTACTTTGACTTTACATTTAAAATATATACTATAATTCGCTTTGCATTCTCACTTTAGTGAATAGGTGTGTATTTTATGTTTAAAGCACGTAGCTTAGTTAGTGGTTTTGAGTAGTTATTTATAATTCACTACTAAAATCGCTGATACTTGAGATGATGCTATTTTCTTTGCCTTTAGATATCTTCTATATTACATGACATGTGTAGGTTCAGGTTAGTGTTAATTTCAGTGTAAAGGTTGTATAGAGGTTAATGTTCAGTATTAGAATACTGTAGGGGTTAATGTTTAGTGCCAGTGTAGTGTAGGAGTTAACTTCGCGTGATTGTGTTAGTGTAAGATTTAATGAGAGCGTAATGTAATTTAGGAATTTTGGGAATTTTAGAACAATTATTATAGTGTAGACAGTGGTTTATAGGAGGAATATATTGTACGGGCAGCACTGGGGCATGCGTGTCCCAGTGCTGCCTGAGATTAGTGCCGTTACATAGTCCCAGGCGAGAGATATTTAAGCTACTGTCATTAATATGTTGGCAGGTGCTACTCAGGAGTGTAAGGTCCACTGATCTTTGGCAGACCAGGACATGTATGTCCCAGTTCATCCTGCATGAGATTAGGACCCCCAGCCTACACAGAAGTGATCCATGCATTATCCCCTGTTCATTATGGGCAACAATAGCATGTATGATGTCACCGACCATGCAATATATGATCTACCTATTTAATTAAATAGGCAGATCACGTTTTATATATATATATATATATATATATATATATATATATATATATATATATAATTAGGTGTTGCTGGGGGATTGGGTGCATTGGGGGTTGAAGCCCTGTATGTAGGGATCCTTAACCCCCGGCCTCCACAGTTTGTGGTGGGGCAAGTGTATATGTGTTTATTATTATTATTTTTCATTCGAAAACAGGCAGCTGCGCCTTTAAGCAGCACCTTATTATAAAAATAAATATTAGTAGCATAGAGCTTCACCAGGCCATTTAGGAGAGCTGTTGGTGTACCCCAGTTAACTCTTGGGAACCGTTGCTGGGGAACAGAAGTTTACTGCACATCCCTCTATTAGTAAAGTAGTATTGCAGGATTGCACAAAATAGTTAACTACAAAATGTGCTTTTTTCCTGCTATACTTTCTTTGAGATCCTGGCAAGCATAATCAGCATGCAGTCCATAGGTTTACAGAACAGAATATAACTTAGAAAGGCAGTGTTTCTACCTATCTGTCAGTTTAGGGGTCATCGAGTTTTCCTTTGAGCTCAAGCCAAGGTATTTATGGGCCCTAGCAATGCCCCTGTATATATGTATGTATATATATAATTGTATTTCTGATTGTCAGATTTCATAATCTACAACTTGCATCCAATTGACTTAAATGTATTATGTAATTGTAAGTATGTGGGATAGGCTGGCATTTTGGAAATATAATAGAGAGAAATATGAGTTACCAATTTCATAGACTGCATTACATAACTGGATTTTGGAACATGAAAGTAGTGGAAATTCTTATACGAATTTAGTTTGAAAAACAGTACACTGAAATGCATGGTGTTTAAACAATTACATGTACTGTTTTTTTTTCCAACAGAGAAACAACATAAAGATAAGGAAAAATTCCAAACTCCAAAAATAATGCACACATTTTTTGTTAAAGTATCACTATAGTGCCAGGAAAACAAACTCATTTTCCTGGCACTATAGTGCCCTGAGGGTGCCCCCACCCTCAGGGTACCACTGCCGCCGGGCTAATGGGGGAGGAAGGGGGTTAAACACTCCACTCCTCGTTTGGTCATCATCGGCTGAATGCTCATGCACGACAAGAGCCGCGTGTGCATTCAGCCAGTCATTCTCAATGCTTTCCTATTGACGCTGGCATCTTCTCACTGTGAAAATCACACTGAGAAGCGCAAAGCGCCTCTAGCGGCTGCCAATGAGACAGCCACTAGAGGCTGGATTAACCCATAGGTAAACATAGCAGTTTACCTAGGGTCAACTCTAGTGGGAAGTATTGTTAAATAGCTTAATGTCGTCTGTGTGGCATCCCTAGAGCATCAGCAAGAAGTAATGACATCTTCTCACTCCTTTTATGCGCAATTGTAAGAACCATTAATGAGTCTTATTAGGGACTCACTGTCTTGCATCACTTCATTGCTGTCTGGTTAGAAAGAAGATTTCTATCACCACAGCCTTACTGCGTTGGTGGTTACTTACCAAAGTGAGTAAATGAACAATAAATGAACAAAAATTTATTTTTGATAGTTGTCAGAGAATAGTTAGATGGGTTCAGCATGAAAGAATTGTCATGAATAGTCACGAGACCACTCTGTGCAACAGTAATAGAAGGGCATATCTGCATGTATAACAAATATCAAACAGTTACATTCCTATCAACCTGGAACTAGAAATATACAGTTTGTTGTGTCTTATGAATTTGGATTTCAAAGAGGACATACAAATGCAATGGGTACACTCTGTCATATTTCAACTGCATATATGGTTCTATTGGTAGCAAATTAGCTTAGTTTGACCGCAGGTTTACCTAATCAATGTTGCTTACCATGCACATTATTTTGTGGCCACAGTATCTCCAGTTCAAAATGATATACTCCAAGTTTTGTTCTGCGCCATCTCACATAGCATGCATCATCTCATGCCATGCTCCCCAAGAAATAGCAGTTTAGTTAATTTTGCACCTGTAGCCTTAGTCATCCTTATAAGGTACCTTTTGAGAGGAACTGGAATGAGAATATGAGGGTAAAAATGTGTTAGGAACTTCACAATGCCATTGCGTTAGCATGAACCAAAATCACTCTGTTGAGCCAATGCCACAAAGAATACATAGATAAATCAAGAAACTCAATAATTGGTCTGCATATTTGAAAGCATTTTTTTCTGAAATTCTTTAAAGTTCTTTTAAATGGAATATATATATAGAGATATAACTGGGTGTCATCAGCGTACAGGTGGTAGTGGATCCACACACATACATATATATATATATGTATGTGTGTGGATCCACTACCACCTGTACGCTGATGACACCCAGTTATATCTCTCCTCCCCGGACCTCTCCCCTGCCGTCCTGCAACGTGTCACTGATTGCCTTTCTTCCATCTCTGGCTGGATGTACTGCCGCTTTCTGAAACTCAGTCTCTCTAAAACTGAGCTCCTTGTCTTTCCTCCTCCTAATACTGATCCTCCTCTTTCGCTCTCCCTTCAAGTTTGTGGTACCCACATCAGTCCATCCCTGCAAGCGCATTTTCTTGGCGTCATACTTGATTCTGGCCTCACCTTTGAGTCTCACATCCAGCATGTTGCCAAATCCTGTAGATTCCATCTTAAAAACATAGCCTCATCTGCCCCTTTCTTACGCAAGATGCTACCAAGGAGCATGTCCATGCTCTAGTAATTTCCCGCATGGATTATTGTAACCCTCTCCTGATTGGTCTTCCCAAAAGCCTTACTGCACCGCTACAATCCATAATGAACGCTGCTGCCAGACTGATTTTCCTCTCGTCGGTTCTCTCACACCTCACCGCTCTGCCAGTCCTTACATTGGCTTCCTGTATGCTATAGGAGTCAATTCAATGTACTAATTCACACCTATAAAGCACTGAACAGCTCTAGCCCCTCTTATATCTCCTCACAGATCCATAGGTATGTCCCTTCTCAGTCTCTCCGCTCTGCTCGTGACCACCTTCTGTCAGTTGTCCGTACTCGTACGGCCAACTCACGCTTACAGGACTTCTCGCGGGTGGCTCCCTTCCTATGGAATAGCCTGCCTAACGCCATCAGACTCTCCCCTAGTCTTGCCTTAAAACCCATCTCTTTAGGAAAGCTTATGGCCTACAAGACTAACCTCTACCTCACATACCTGTCTCCTGCTCTCTCCTAAAGGGCAGCCCACCTTATTTGACTGCAAATTCTTGTCCTAATGTGTTTTACACCCCACCTCCTATAGAATGTAAGCTCGTTTGAGCAGGGTCCTCTTCAACCTATTGTTCCCGTAAGTTTTTTGTAATTGTCCTAGTTATTGTTAAAACCCCCTCTCATAATATTGTAAAGCGCTGCGGAATCTGTTGGCACTATATAAATTGCATTAATAAATAATAATAATATATTTATATTTAATAATTATGTTTTGTGTTTTATTTTGTGTTTACTTTAAAGGCAGAAATAGTTTATCGATAAAAAATATTTCACCTATATTTTGAATTTTTGTCTGGATTTTTACAAGCCCACTTTAAAAAAAACAAACAAACAAAAAACAGAACAAAACTAACAACTTGCTATTTTGTATTCTAAACCTTTTCAGAAATAATAAAAAATAGTAATCTGCTATATTGAGTGCATGTCATAAAAAAAAAACTTTTTTTTTATTGGATATGTAGTTACTAGTGTGCCACTCCTGCAAACAAATTTATCAATTCTTCAGTGAATTTGTCACATGATACTTTGGCAAATGTGACTCACAGAATGGTCTTTAGAGCTATGGTTACAGTGGTGTAGTGAGGGCAAGTGTTAAAGCACTGAATTGTAAAATGCAAAGATGGACAGAAGGTGCTCTCCCAGAGGACATATCACCCCCATGATTAAGATTTGGAGTCAGTTTACAGTTCAACCGCTTCAGGCTAAATAAGGTTCTAAACCTCCTTACATTTCATCTAAAGCTTCTGCTAAGAGAATAACTTGGTCTCAAAGACTCACTGAAATTTTACATTTACATTTATGTATGTGTGTATATATATATATATATATATATATATATATAAAGAGAGCACATATATCATAAGAGATATACATTTTTCACATACACACACACACACACACACACACACACACACAATTAGACATATAAGAAAAATTGTATATCTCTGATGATATTTAAGTGCTCTCTTTTGTTATAATATGTTATGTATAACTTCAAATATGTATATTACCTTCTATCTATCTATCTATCTATCTATCTATCTATCTATCTATCTATCTATCTATCTATGCCACACAGCTCAACATACCATAAAGTGATTCATATATATATATATATACTTCTTTTGTTTATGGTGTATCTGTGAATTCTCTTTTTTTCACACTGAGCGCAGTTTAATCTAACAAAAAAAAGAAAAACATAAAGAAAGGAAATCTATTGCGATGCAGATGTATTTTTTTATTTCCAGCAATTAAAATGTTTTAATGAGACAACCATAAAATCAACCATTAATTATTTATTTCAAACACTCATTGCTTCTTTTGAACCAGCCCTGTTTAGAAAAAGTTTAGAGAGTAGCCTGCGGTTTTATTATTTAACTTGTATTATACACAGGAATAGAGAAGTCATTTATAAATAATTACACAATGTTTGGGGGCTTTTGGTTTGTATAATATATCAAAGCGATTAGTACACGCATTGTGCCATTGTGAAAGTCTTTTTTTTTCCATTCAATTTTACTTGCAATGTCTTCTTTCCTAACCTTTTTCTAGAATTCTTTTGTCTTCTTTCTGCTTTTTCCTTGTTACAATCCATACTCTTTATTTTTATTCAAACACTCACAGCATGAGCAAAGAAAGCAACTTCTGTCTCATCCTACGTTATACTATAACTTGCTGTCCCATTTTATTCTTTGCAGACTAGAAAGATGGAGACAATGTGCATTATCCACTCATATGATGCTGCGGGTATCTGTCACACCATTACAATATGTAATCATTTATTTTGCTAATGAAATACTGTCTGCTAGTCTCATAATACTATGATGGAGATGTCTAAAAGTTTTCTACAGATAATGGTAATCATATATAAAGTTAGCATGTGAAAAAGTATATTAAAATTGGAGCACCAAATGGGTTATAGTTTGAATATGAATTCTTGAAATTAGCACATTATGGAAAAATAATTGCATTTTTTTTTTCAATTGTTTTATTTGGTGTTATTCAATAAATTGTAAATGTTGGAGAATTTATAGTAACTACACATTTTAGCCCAACATAACAACCAGTGAAATCTAAATGAGTTGGAGAATTACTGTGTCTGCTGACTAAACTCTTATTGGGTTAAAGAATCCCCATAGGCATGAATACAATAAATACATCAATGGGTAATAATTATTTTCTGTATAAAAATCATAAATTATAAAAGTTCAAGTAATCTACATAATAATTGTAGCAGACTAATGAAAAATGGTTGGAAAGATGGAAGAACAAAAAGCATAGGTGGTAAAAGAGGCTTCTAAATAGTGGCAAAAGACAATAACTTCTGCAAACATATTCTAAGCTTTATTAGTGCAACGTAAAAGAGGGACACAACTTAACAGCAGGTGACCCAGTGCCACGAGCATTTGCTCTCCCCCCTACAGTGCAAACATTTTTGCTCCTGGAGGGGAGGTCTAAGCTCCAAAGCCAAACTTGGGTAATCAATAGCAAAGGAAAAGCATACTTATCAACTCTGGCTCCCTGGAGAGTCTCTGCATCAAATCTGTCACCTGCATTCACTTCTTTAGTGTGGTTGACAAGTGTTGGGAGTAGGTAGGGGGGCTTCTCTACTTTTTTACCCTAAACCAACAAGGAAAGGGGTTGAATGTTGTATAGAATGCTGGTAGGTAAATCAGTTTGATAGAAATACAATGTTTTATACAAATTTTCTTTTTTAAATGTTATTTTATGACAGATGTGATATACACGGAATGGTTTGACTGCATAACATATAACAATTCCTTCTTCATCTGCAAACAAACTGTCCCTGAAGTGTTAATTTCTCATGTTTGTGAAACTGTGAGCACTTTCTAATAAGAACTAGTCGGAGTTAGTATGGGATAAGGTGAAAAATGGCCATACAAAATTTGGCCCGCAATTTGAATTGGCAGCTCAGGAGAAAACACAGTAGAGTAGACTTGTGCATTTGGTTTTTGACCCAATTGCAAATCATCCAAATTTATACCAATTGATGGGTTGTCTGAATCTGTAACTCCAAAGCACCAAATGTATTTAACTTGTGCATTGGATGAGCATGTCCGTTTTGTTTGTGATTCTGAGTTTCATTTCTGATGCCTAAAAAGAAATGATTGATGTCAAAAAAGATGATAGCTGGTTAAGGGACAGCCACTAAATGTTGTTGTTTTTTTTTTTTTACAGATCAGGGAGAAATGACCAATACATGAGAAAAAACAAGTGTAAAAAACCCTCTATTTATAAATCATATATTGAATACATTTTTACTGCTCCTCTATTGGTTACTTTTTCTCACTTGAACCAGATGTTAGGAAAATACACATATCAGTGTACTGCAAAATATATACACAAATTATATTTATGTATCTATCTTGCAGTACACTGATTGGCCTGTTTTCACACTTTTTTTTTTCTTCCAAATCTTTTCCCCAAATATTTAGCAATTTAGCATGAACGATATTTGGATGAGACAAACCGCAACATGGACAACTATCAGACTACCCAAATGAAATGTTATTTTTGGACAAAGTGATTTGGCAGAACCAAATTTTTTTGCCAAGCACAAATCTACAGTAGAGCACCCAGAACAACTACATAAAATACCTTTTGATGAACTAGAGCACAATACTATTTTTATCCAAGATAATAAAGTTTGTCTAAGGTTGTTTCCACACTTTAGTGTTCACCTGTTGAGTGTTTGATCGGACGTGAGATATGGTTTACTGCAAAATTCATAGATGGGATGCCAGTATCTATGTTAATATTTGAGTAACCATGAGAACCCAAACTGATCACACAGAAAACTTGCAAACATTAGCTGTCAGATACAGGAAAAATACATGGTGTTGAAATGGGGCAATGAGGTATAGGCAAAAGAATCTACCAGAAAGGTAGGAGATAAACATGATTTTTGAACTTGGTTAAAAAATATAAACAAACATGATGAATATGGAATTCTAAAATTCTAGATTTTAAACTAAATTGTAATGTACTAATTTTTAATCGGAATTAAAGTTTATGTCTATCAAACATCTTAAGTCCAGCATTTTCAAGGCCATAAGTGAGTCTTGAATTCTGGGGTT